GATATTCTGATGAGATTATCTATTCAATTGTGACAATTGACATTAAAACCACTTTTAATCCAATACAGCCGCTATACAGGCTTATACAGTAGCCACATAAAAGTGTCGCCCGTGGTGGACGTCGCTGCCACTAGCTATGCTACTGCTGGCTTGATTTAAATTTTTATTTTATTTTACGAGATTTTGACGCTGGTCAAGGAGTGGAGTTGGTTAAACAGGTGATCCGTTAAATTAGGAGCGCCAGCACTTATTAATTTTGTTTATACGTTTTCTTGTTATATTCTTTCTGGGCTTTTTTAAATGAAATTTGAAAAAAAAGGTTTATTTAAAAAATTTTGAATTAAAAATTCATTATTAAAAAATGAATTTGTAAGCTTCAAAAAATTCAAATACGAAAAGAAAAATCAGAACTCATTTTATTAATGAATATGGCCAATCCAACTGGCTTACGACCACGTCATGTTGAAACGGTTTTCCCGTACGATCAGCGAAGTTAAACAACGTCGAGCGTGTCCAGTAACTAAATACCAGGTGCTGTAAGCTTGGGTGGTGTAGTGGATAACGGCTTGGAATGAGAAATCGGAGAGCCGAGTTCGAATTCCAGTCATGTGCATTATATTAACTTAAGCGTTTAGCACAGCGAATCTTATATATACATATATTTATTAAAGACATTTTTATGTTTAACGTTGTTATTTATAGATACAAGTATTTAAGCAAATGCTCTGTTAATGATAAACAGTATGAAATAACATTTGCTTAAATACTTGTATCTATAAATAACAACGTTAAACATAAAAATGTCTTTAATAAATAAATTGTCGGACCATGTCCATTTTCTTAATATATGACGTCATTTGTTTACATTTGATACGCCATGAGCAGTTATGAATGTACGAGATTCATGGAAGATTGAAGTTTATAAGCAGTAAATTCGACCTTGTCTACCGAAAGGTTCATTGTGGCCGAGACGGTTAAGGCACGTCAGCGTAATAGGATGCAGGTTCGAATCCTGTCAAAGAACGAATATTTTCTATGAAAATTTCTCGGACATTCAGGCCGGTAAATGTTATTTAATACTGTTTATCATAAACAGAGCATTTGCTTAAATACTTGTGTCTATAAATAACAACTTTAAACATAAAAAAATGTCTTTAATAAATAAATTGTCGGAGCTTGTCCATTTTCTTAATATACATACATATATATATATATATACTTTAAAAATTAGGAGGTCAGTTGAATCTTCTACCTTCGTTTCAACCTCCGGTTACCATAAAGTTGAAACCAAAGTAGCGGATTCAACTGACCACCTGATCATTAACGTGCGCGCGCGAGTGCGTGTGTGTGTGTTTATATATATATATATATATATGAAAAGTTAGCACTTTCCTAAATCTGACCAAAATTCAAGAGGGCCTTTTTAGTAGAACCGATAGCTTTTCAACATCGTTTATATATATATATATATATATATATATATATATATAGTCAACTCTCCCGTCGATTTTCGACGTATGAGGCTCAAGCAGATCAGTTTCCAGGAAACCGACAGCCCGACAACGGCACATGAGGTTTGATTATCGTGTTGAAGGTTTCGTGCAGGACCATCCACACTTTTTGAAGGGACGAATACAGAGACCTGGTGCACTACGTGCCACAAGGTCCCCAAACGACCCTCCGCAGGTTTTGAATTCAGAGTTGTCCTCTTCCTAGACCATTTGCCATCCAAGGCTATAGAACCCAGTCTGACCTGCTATATGGAGGGAGAAGAAGAGGATTCATATCTTTCCTGCACGTAAGTGAATGTAATGGATTCGACTGGAATTCGAACTCTGCTCTGCGATTCCTCAATCCAAGCCGCTATCCATTACTGCACCGTGCCCCATATATATATATATATATATATATATATATATATATATATATATATATATATATATATATATATATATATATATATATATATATATATATATATATATATATATATATATATATATATATATATATATATATATATATATATATATATATATATATATATATATATATATATATATATATATATCAAACTTATGTAGCTTTCTTGGCTCCTTAGGATTACTTTAGTATATATATATATATATATATATATATATATATATAAGTATCCTAAGGAGCTAAGGAAAGCTACATAGGTTTGACCTAAACGGATATTCATGGTAAAGCGGGTATTACCCTGAAGATCCGTTTAGATGAAACCTAGGTAGGTTTGCCTGGCTCCTTAGGATTACTTTATGATCGCTCTGTTTAGTGTATTGAGCACTTTACGTAGTTGTCTTTTTACTCGTTTTCTTTTTTTTTTTCTTTGGATTTGGAGCTTAAACACATGACGATTGAACACATCGCCTTGTTTTAATCTTCTTGCTTCTTTCTATTTTAACATTTTTCCTCGTGTACCGATTGCAAGTTGAGCTATCCGAGGTTTTTTCCAAACGAATACCACCATATATATATATATATATATATAGATATATGCTTTAAAAATCAGGAAGTTAGCGGATTCAACTGATCTCCAGATTTTTAAAGTTAAAAGCTCTACATGTTATGTTTACTTTTATTTTAAAGAAAAAGCAACGCATATATATATATATATATATATATATATATATATATATATATATATATATATATAGATATATATAGATATATGCTTTAAAAATCAGGAAGTTAGCGGATTCAACAGATCTGCAGATTTTAAAGTTAAAAAGCTCTACATGTTATATTTACTTTTATTTTAAAAAAAGAAAAATATATATATATATATATATATATATATATATATATATATATATATATATATATATATATTTTTTCTTGTGTTCGTAAGTGTTTTTTCTTTTCTGAGCATAAAGGGTATAAAAACTCTCCGAATATCCTATATATCCAGGTGCTTTTTTGAATCGTAAAATAAAATAAAAAATGCAATAAAATTAAGAAATTATTTAATTAGAAAAAGCATTTAATTGCTTTTATAAATAATATATATTAAGAAAAACTAATCTTTTTTCAATGAATAATGATTTTTTTACAAAAATTGTTTCTATTTTTTAAATTTAAATTAGAATAAATTATTAAGTTTTAAATCTTTCAAAATTCTGTATTAATTTCACCCTTTTACATGATATTATTATTAAGTAAAACTATATTTAGTAATCATAAACTGAAAAGCTTAATACAAATCAGTACACACCAATATTATTAAAAGGATTTTGAATTCCTTTTCTTTGTGTATAAACGCGCTGATTTTTGTAGATATCAGAAAAATAAGAGTGATAACTAAAATAAATTTAATGCCCAAAGCTAAAATTCAATAAAAAAAACATTAGATTACGGATAATATATTCCTAAAATTACTGAGAACTTGAAAATTATATATAAAAGGCGCTCACTTCATTTTCTTAGATTATGTTTTACAGATAAAACATTAGATCTTTCATCACGCTGTCAGAACGTCAACACAGCTATTGTCGTGTTAAAACACAGCTACTGTCGGATTAAAAACACAGCTACTGTCGGATTAAAAACACAGCTACTCTCGGGTTAAAAACACAGCTATTGTCGGGTTAAAAACATGCACTTCTGCGATATTTTAAACTTAAAGTAAATAATATTCGTTTCAAATCAGATTAATTATACTTTAAATCAGCTAATATTCTTCAAATAAAGTTTCAGACAAGTATATTTTATTGTTCGAAGGTTTCTTTAAGAATGACAGTTATATTGCGATTGAAGACAACTAAAAAGAGGGCTAATCATTGCTGAGGAGTGAAGGTATTTAAAATAATAGCAGTATTAAGGAAAAACTATACTTTAGGCACTCCGAACGAAGGCCGAACATTGCCATATGGTTAAGTTATCCCCCTTCTTAACTTTGTATCAGTCTTTTTTCCAGAATTTAACTTCACAATATAGCTTGCTCTATAGGTTTAATTTTCCTGCAATACTAAAGTGTTTTCATTACCCGAGGCCGGGTTAAAACTTCAGGGTTGACATACTCATATATAAAACAAATCTTGATAGCTTATATCACTGAGACAGGCCCCTCAAAATTGGATGTGTGTTAAGCTTAAATAATGATAGCAATGAATTCATAATAAGCATATTCATTCTGATTTATTTCCAGAGTCATTTTAAATCTTTGCATAGTAAAATGTTTTCATTAGCCCAGCACATATTGAACTTCGAGGCTTACACGCCAGCGGATAAGCCCCCCCCCCAACACACGCACACACACTCTCTCTCTCTCTTTCTCTCTCTCTCTCTTACACACACACACTCACTGTCTCTCTCACAACTATATACATTCTGTCTCTCTCACACACACGTACACACTCACTCACTCTCACGCACACACACACATAGTCTCTCTCCTTTACTCATACACATACATACACACTCACACTCTCTCTTTCACACACACACGCACACACACACACACCGTACACTTCACTCTCCCCATACAGACACGCTCACACAGATACACACTCACAAACGTAAACTCTCTTTCTCTTTCACACCCACACTCACATACATGTACACACTCTCTCTCTCTCACACACGCTGATTCTCTCTCTCTCACAGACACTGTCGTTCACATACATCTGTCTCTCACACCCACACACTATCTCTCACTAACACACACTCTTTCTCAGACGCACACATAGACTCTCTCTCTCTCACACACACAGAATACTCTCTCTCTCTCTATGTCTCTCTCTCTCACACACACACTCATATGCAAAAAAAAACGTGATTTCTGATATGTTATATCCCCGGGTCCAGAAAAGATCCGGTCAAATCGCGATGTAAGATAAGCCTCGGTATATATGTGAGTACAGGGGCAAGATTTGCCATATGTTAGTCTATCAAGCACTTCCTTCCAACCAATGTTTATATTAACTCTTTCTTATCGCGGAAAAAATAAGCCAAAGCGCAAAAGATGATACACTGCCATATCAGAAAAAAAAAGAAAAGAAAAAAGAAAAAAGAGAAAAAAGAAGAAAAGAAAAAAAGAAAGAACTAGAAAAAAGAAACAGGAAAGAAAAGAACAAAGAAAAAGGAAAGAAAAGAAAAAAGAAAAAATGAAAGAAAAAAGGAAAGGAAAGGAAAAAGAAAAGAAAAAGGAAAGAAAAAAGAAAGGAAAGGACAAATAAACAGGAAAGAAAAAGGAAAAAAGAAAAAAGGAAAAAGAAAAGAAAAAAGAATGAAAAGAAAAAAGAAAAAGGAAAGACAATAAAAAAGAAAAAAGGAAAAAAGAAAAGAAAAAGGAAAAAGGAGAGAAAAGAAAAAAGGAAAAAGAAAAAAGGAAAAAGAAAAGAAAAAAGAAAGAAAAGAAAAAAGAAAAGATAAAAAGAAAGAAAAGAAAAGAAAAAGAAAAAAGAAAAAAGAAAAGAAAAAAGAAAAGTTAAAAAGAAAGAAAAGAAAAGAAAAAAGGAAAAAGGAAAAGAAAAGAAAAAAGAAAGAAAAGAAAAAAGAAAAGATAAAAAGAAAGAAAAGAAAAAAGAAAAGAGGAAAGAAAAGAAACCATAAAAGAGGAAAGAAAATTCAAAAGAAAAAACGTAAAAAGAAAAAAGAAAGAAAAGAGAAGAAAAAAGGTAAAAAGAAAAAAGAAAAAGAAAAAGAAAGAAGAAAAGAAAAAGAAAAAAAGAAAAACAACCAGCCAACGCAGAAACAAAACATACCGTGACCTCATTTCGTGCCAGCCGTCCTAAATAAGTATTTTTAGAATCTGATATCCTGCAGCCTATTAGCCCATGTCGAGTGGAAAAATAGTGTGTAGGCGTTATAGAAACAAAGAGGAAGCGAAAAGATTTGGTGTAGGTGTTGCGTGGGCGTCCTTATAAGTCAAACAAACACAGGAAAAAAAGAATCATTAAAAAAGAGAAATAAGGTTTCGATCTTGGTATGGAATCCATTGCTTGGTCTGCTGCTAAGAAAGTCGATTCATTACTAGACATTTTTTTTTTATCTCCAGATGAATAATTTATACTGTTCGTCTATCCCATAAATATTGTTGCCACATATGCTACGATGCTCTTGATAAAATCCAAAGAAGTAGCAATATTATAGGTCCTGACCTGGCATCTCGGTTTCAGTAACTGTCCCACCGCTGTAGTGTAGCTGCCCTGTGCCTTTTCCATAAATACTTCCATGGCAATTGTCCAGATGACCTTTCCTCTTTGACGCCTAGACTTTATGAATTTAAGCACACTACTAGATTGGCGGCTAGGTCTCATCAATTCACAGGTGGATTGGCTAGATGTAACCGTAAGTTCTATGCTAGCAGTTTCTTCTCTCGCACTTCTCGCTTGTGGAACTTACTTCCGGCTCCATGCTTTTCAGCCAACTATATTAAAAATGTAAATACAATGCCAATCGTTATCTTGTGTCCTCTTGATCACTTTCCCATTGTTCTCGTCCCTTAGTAATGTTTTTTTTATTATTCTTTTACACCCTGTAACCCCTTGGTTATTAGTGGCTTTATTGCCTTGCTTTTGGTGAAAAAAATCAATCAAGATATATCCCTGTATAAAATTATGATCAATAGAGTCAATTCTCCCCAATCGGACTAGTTAGAGCAGGATAGAGTTGAAAAACAATTGATATTCATTAGCCCCCAGCTTCCGTAACTCTTAATATTGTTTAACATATTTAATTATCATTCATGTCGGTATTTTGAACAGGAATAGAGGTTTATCCTTTTTTCCTGTTTAGGATTGCGTCTCCGGTTCTTTTTAAAGTTTACATGAACCCAATAGACTCTGAAAAATCTTAAATCTTATTTACAACTAGCAGTAAAGCCCGGCGTTGCCCGGGAATGTAACAGTAAGAGATAGATCAAGTATCGACCATCATAAAGACTGAAAAATAAAATTAACAAAGATTATTGTTTAAGGTTGACGGACACGCATGTCTTAATTAGTTTTTTGTTTTTTGTTACGAATTTGTCAAACCCAAACTCAAGCAAAAAGATTGTTTTCAATCGTTATGAGTCTACCGATTGAATAGAATTTTATTATAAACAATTGTCTTGTAAATGGAATTTTTAAAGCATTCTGAATGTAAAAATAAAGAAAAAAAAGTGTGCAAGACAATAAGAAACACTACCTGCCAAGAAGTTTTGTTGAAATCGGTTGGAAAATGTAGGAAATCCGATCCCATATATAAACGAACACACACACACACACACACACACACACACACACAGAGAGAGAGAAACAACCTGGGTTTTATAATAAGTATAACTCGATATGAGTTGTCCCCCTTTCATGCCTCTTAATCATGTTTTCAAATTGATTTCGTGCAAAAACAATTGTGTTTTTCCAATTTTTGGCGCTGTTAGAACCACCGCAAGGTAATTTTACGTAGTCCTGTGAAGTTTTGTTGAAATCGGTTGAAAAATGTAGGAAATCCGATCCAATATATAAACGTACACACACACACACACACACACACACACACACACACACACACACACACACACACACACACACACACAACCTGGGTTTTATAATAAGTATGATTTATTTATTTATTTTTTTAGTAGGGATAGATATTCACCTATCACCCGGTTCGTACTCCTCCCCGGATTTTTGTGTTGGAGTAGAGGTTTATCTCTTGTTTGGTGCTTAGGATTGAGATTCCGGTTCTTCTTAAAGTCTTTTTTATTCTCTTTCACTCTCCCGTAGTCCCTTGCCTCTTAACGATCCTATCGCTCTGTTTGTGGTGAACTGATAAAAAAAATAATAGACAGCAAAATAATCCCAAAAAGAAAAAAACAGAAGCGATATATTTTACAAAATTATTTTTACATTATATACACCCTTGTGCAAATTAATAGAAACAAAACGAGTAATTCCATTATTATTTACATTTTTTCGTATTTTTCCAATGAAATATGACTCATTACACATGGTAGTACTTCGTATGTCCAATCCACGAAGTCTTTCCTTGCAGATTGACCACAGATTCTTGATTGGATTTAAATCAGGAGAATTTCCGTGCCAGTCTATAGTACTTTGATTTGCTCACTGGTAAGGCTTGCTATTGTGTCTGTGCAGCGTTACAATTTTCGTACGCTTCCTTGGAGTAACGCCCATCGCAGACAATGGCCGAAAGGACAATTAATCGACAGTCGAGACAATAGTGTCTGGGCGTGATGAAAATCTGATGCAATCATGGATGAAGCAATATTTTTCAAGGCCAAAGAAATTTCATCATACACCCCAAAAATAAATACATATTACTGCACACTACTGGAAATGACCTAATCTTAAGAAAAAATAGACATCGATTACACCCTGACACTCCAATGGGTCTAAAACCGACTGTATGTTGAAAGAAAGGAAACTAAAGCACTTGTTTCAATTAATTTACACAAGGGTGTAGAAACTGAAATGGCGCTTACCGTATATACACGCATATCATACGACATTTGAAATCCTAATTTTGAAGCTAATTTTTAGGGGTTCGCATCATACACGAGAAATATAAATTTGGCGTATGTACTGCTTGCCCTGGCTATGCCGTTGTCCAAGCTATATATCCATTTCAGTCAGTTAGTTAAGGGACACACGTGATACACGCTTGGGTGATCATGTATCTTTCAGGTACATGACTGACGAGTCAGAATATTTTTCCCGCAGTAGGTTACCATTTCCTTCTGCGTTAGACTGGTTGCCAACGAAGGCTGAAGAACCCAGTCGGTCATGCTATTTAACCGATAGCTGGGAAGAACAGAGATGGATTCATATCTTTTCCAAGGCTATTTGTGCGTAAGTTAATAAGGTGTATATACGATGTATTTAAATATATTTTGTTTTTAAAAATGTTAATAGTTCATAATACTCTATATAATAAATTAATTTAAAAACTATACATCCCCTCTTCAAGACGTGGGCCCTGGGTAAGACGATAAACTACATCCGCGTCCTGGGTAAGACGATAAACTACATCCGCGTTCTGGGTAAGACGATAAACTGCATCCGCGTCCTGAGTACACGATAAACTACATCCGCATCCTGGGTAAGACGATAAACTACATCCGCGTCCTGGGTATGACGATAAACTACATCCGCGTCCGGAGTAAGACGATAAACTACATCCGCGTCCTGGGTATGACGATAAACTGCATCCGCGTCCTGGGTATGACGATAAACTGCATCCGCGTCCTGGGTATGACGATAAACTACATCCGCGTCCTGGGTATGACGATAAACTGCATCCGCGTCCTGGGTATGACGATAAACTACATCCGCGTCCTGGGTATGACGATAAACAGCATCCGCGTCCTGGGTAGGACGATAAACTACATCCGCGTCCGGAGTAAGACGATAAACTACATCCGCGTCCTGGGTATGACGATAAACTGCATCCGCGTCCTGGGTATGACGATAAACTACATCCGCGTCCTGGGTATGACGATAAACAGCATCCGCGTCCTGGGTATGACGATAAACTACATCCGCGTCCGGAGTAAGACGATAAACTACATCTGCGTCCTGGGTATGACGATAAACTACATCCGCGTCCTGGGTATGACGATAAACTGCATCCGCGTCCTGGATATGACGATAAACTACATCAGCGTCCTGAGTATGACGATAAACTACATCCGCGTACTGGGTAAGACGTTAAATTACGTCTAGCAGCAAGGCCTCTGATTAGGAGGTTTTGAGGATCGTCGAACCACCTCTTAATTGCTGGTGTTCCAGCCAGAGTGGTAGCACCTGTTAGGGTCCCAGCTATGGGTAAATAGTTAACTATTACCAGCAATACTTTTTTGAAAAAAAATTATTACCAGCAATACAATTTTGAAGGAAACATATTACCAGAAACAGATTTTTAACAGAACAAAATATTACCAGCAATAAAAAATGTCGGCATTAAATAACCCATTGAGGTTGATATGCCGTAAAACAAAATAAACCAAACCAAACCAAAAATACCATTTATTTTAATAAGAAATAATCCGTTTAAAACTTTTATTTACTTTATATCGCAGGAGAAAATAGAAATTACTTTGTTTACCAAGACAAGACTCAATCCTCAGGTTCCTAAATTACAAACATATTTCCGTTTGCCCCATAAGCAAGTATTCTTGAAATTTGGGCAAGACTGGTTTACATACCAGAGAATATCTGAGATGAGATATTTTTTTAATTCTTCTTCCGTCTCAGTTTAGGCTGGGTTCTTCCTCACTCCTTTATCCATTGCCATTCTTTTCCTGCATTTAAACACTCTAACAATGCAATGATAGGGTGGGTGACACATGGTCGCTTTCACGTAGTGACCCCCACATGTGTACATATAAACCCAGGGAGAAAATTGCTTTGTTGCTACAACTGGCTTACGGGAACATCACGTTAAAACACCAGTTCAATGTACGGTCATTGAAGTCAAGCAACGTCGAGCCTGGTCAGTACCTAGATGGGTGACTGCTTGGGAATACCAGGTGCGGTAAGCTTGGATATGCGAAGATGTAATGCATAATGGCTCTGAAGTGTTAATCGGAGATTAAGTTAAGCAACGTTGAGCCTGGTTAGTACCTGGATGGGTGACCGCTTGCGAATACCAGGTGATGTAAGCTTGGATATGCGAAGGTGTAATGCATAATGGCTCGGAAGTGTTAATCGGAGATTAAGTTAAGCAACGTTGAGCCTGGTTAGTACCTAGATGGGTGACCGCTTGCGAATACCAGGTGATGTAAGCTTGGATATGCGAAGGTGTAATGGATAATGGCTCGGAAGTGTTAATCGGAGATTAAGTTAAGCAACGTTGAGCCTGGTTAGTACCTAGATGGGTGACAGCTTGGAAATACCAGGTGCTGTAAGCTTGGATATGGGAAGGTGTAATGGATAATGGCTCGGAAGTGTTAATCGGAGATTAAGTTAAGCAACGTTGAGCCTGGTTAGTACCTAGATGGGTGACCGCTTGGGAATACCAGGTGCTGTAAGCTTGGATATGGGAAGGTGTAATGGATAATGGCTCGGAAGTGTTAATCGGAGATTAAGTCAAGCAACGTCGAGCCTGGTTAGTACCTAGATGGGTGACCGATTGGGAATACCAGATGCTGTAAGTTTGGATGTGTGGAAGATATAATGGACAATGGTTTGGAATTTGTTAATCGGAGAGCCGAGTTCGAATTCCAATTCTAATTGGGTTCGTTGTATTCATTTACGCGCACATACCATTGGGAAAATTACGAGCCCACCTTTTTTCACCCCCTTCTATGGGTTAATTAGTAAGACTTATATCACTAAATCATTATTATCTCAACAAAAGTTCTTAAAATCTAAAAATATTTTTTGGCTTTAAATAACCGCAGAAAACGAGTCAACCAACTCGTGACAAGGAAAGAAAAGAGGAAAGGGGAGAGAAAAGAACCAAAATGAAGAACGGAAAGAAGAAAAGGGAATAGAAGAGAAAACAGAGAAAGAAGAGAGAAAATATTGAAAACCATGTAAGAAAGAAGAGAAGGGAGGAAAAAAGTAAAGGAAAGAGAAGATAAAGAAAAATAAAAAGGACAAATATTGAAGAAAGGCATAAGAAAAAAAAGAAAAAAAAAGAGACAAGGACGAGGAAATGAATAAAATACATATAATCTGAAATTATAATCAACAATATGCACGGTGGAGTAATGGATAGCGGCTTGGATTGAGGAATCGGAGAACCGAGTTCGAATTCCAATCGAATCCATTACATTCACTTACGTGCTAACACCCTTGGGAAAGGTGTGAATCCTCTTCAGCAGCTATGGGTAAATAGCAGGACAGACTGAGTTCGATAGCCTTGGTGGTGGGAAAGTGACTGAAGCCGAGCTGCCAGATCAGGAACAATAATCATCATCATCTTGCGGCCTCAGCCGAGATTGCACTCACCAATACTTTGATTGGTGTAGTTCATAATCTTGTCAAATAGCTGAATTATATCCTTCTCCTAGACCAGTTGCCATCCAAGGCTATAGATGGATAACTCTGAATTAAAACCTGCTCTTAGATGAGGGTGAATGGAGTCTCTCTGAGCCTTGGTTGTCAATCCATTTAGTGATGGTGTCACGATAAAAACACCCTTGATAGCCCTAGCGAAGCATCAAGAATTCAGCTATTTGACAAGATTATGAACTACACCAATCAAAGTATTGGTGAGTTCAATCTCGGCTGAGGCCGCAAGATGATGATGATTATTGTTCCTGATCTGGCAGCTCGGCTTCAGTCACTTTCTCACCACCAGCCTGTGTCTTTTCTATAAATACTTTCATAATAATTTTCGGATGAGCTCTTGAATTGTACATACCGGGACTAGTTAGGATTTTCATAGAGACAATGAGGTATTATGGTGATTGTAGTAAGAATATGTTATTTTGGTGTTAGGAATATTGTGGTAAGTTTGGCTCAGTGTTTCTGGCTAGCTAAGTTTAAATGTTAAGACAGAACAAGACCGTTTTTTCCCCATTCCCCACTTTGACCTTGTGCCACATTTCTGTATATAAGCGGAATAAATATCGCTATTCGCTGTAGTACCTAGACTTTCTGAATTTAAGTGCAGTACTAGACTGCTGTCAAGATCTCACCAATTTAGCAAGTTGAGCTGGCTAGATATCGCTGTGAGTTCTTTGCTAAAACAGTTTCTTTTCTTGCACTTCTCACCTGTGGGACTCCCGGCTTTATGCTTTCCAGCCAACTTTAATCTGTAAAAGTTTAAATAAATGTCAATCGCTATCTAATGTCCACCAGATTTCTCTTTTCTCTTCCCATTCATTAGTAATGTTTCTGTTCCTAATTCCTCCACACCTTGTAATCCCTTGTGTCTTAGTGGCTTTACTGCCTTGCATGGGGTGATTCCGATTAAAAAAATAAAAAATAAAACTTTGAAAAACGAACAAATGGAAACAGAAAGAAAATGGGAATATTAAAAAAAAAGAAATAAATAAATGGGATACAATAAAACGAGAAATGAAAGAATTAATTTAAATCAAGAAAAAAACTAGAAAAGGCGAGAATAAAAAAAAACAAAGCTATTTAAAACTAAAAATGAAGGAGAGTGAAGTGTAGAGCAAAAAGAAAAAAAAAAGGCCAAAAAAAAAAAAAAAACACACGAAGGAGTCGAAATAACTGAGGTTAAGCTGGGTTCAGTTTGAGAGTTGGAGGCAAATCATGTGACAAGGAGGTGAAGAGGTGAAATAGCAACAGACAGTCTTTGTGAACGTTTATAAAAAGCGTGGCGGTGTGATGGTAGGTGGAGGGTGGTGGAATAATGAGGTCACGACTAGATGAGAATTTAGGACGAGGAAATGGCGGAGAGTTAAACTTATTGGGTCACATGCGTAGGTGGAAATAGGGTATGCATATCACACACACACACACACACACATACACACACATTTTATATATATATATATATATATATATATATATATATATATATATATATATATATATATATATACATATATATATGTACATACACACACACATATATATATATATATTGAACAATAAAAATATTAAAAATTAAAATCTGCAGGCACACTGGGTTGTAGATCAATATTCTTTCTTTTTTTATTATTATTTCATTTAGATTCCTCGACTAGTTTCGGCCATCATCGGGAGAAGAAATATTTCTGCTTGCTGGTAGCAGTAAACTACAGAAATATATATATATATATATATATATATATAAATATATATATATATATGTGTGTGTGTGTGTGTGTATGTGTGTGCATGTGCGTAGAAAAATAGGAAAGAACACGTTATGTAAATAATCCAGGGTTCTTTAGTATTTTTGTTTTTATTTAAAAAAACAACAACAGTGCTCCATACAGAAGTAGAGCTTAGATTATAATTATTATTATTTTTTTTATTTTTTTAATTATTATTTTTTTAAAATATGATTCCTTCGCTACGTAAGAGTTCTCATGTTTCAAAAACGAGAGCTGAAACCATCAATATAATTATTAAAATTCAATTGAAATTGATAATTGGTAGGGAATTCCAAAGAGGACATGAATCCAAATAAAGCTCAATGTTAGACACAGGGAAATAATAATAATAATAATAATAATAATAATAATAATAATAATAATAATTACAAATAATCCTTAAAAATCAATTCGGCTAAAATTCATTTCATGAATATATTAAAAAAACCTTCGGTCGGAAGAGATGAATACTTCTATATATTCATGTAATAAATTCTAACCAATGGATTTTTAAGGATCGTCTGTACTTATATATATATATATTGTGTATATTTTGGCAGCATGTTTTCATTAAGACATGTCACATTAAATAATTTATACCAGTTTTGTCTACTTATTTTAAATAGGATCCTCTCGTAATTACGGACAAGTTTCTTAGTCTCCTTATTAAAGGAAGAAAGAAAATTACCATATTGATGTATATTCATTTTATTCTGAGTACTTTCGATATTAGCACAATGTCGTCATCAGAGGGTCTTGTTTTTACAAAGACAAAAATTAATTTGGATGGAGTTTTCGGTTTGAAAGATATTTTTAATTTAGTGCTATTTTTGCCAACTGCTATAAAAATGCAAATCTTCCAAAAATAAAATTTATTTTTTGAAACTTTGTTTGAGACATATTAGCTGATTTATTTTTAAGTACAGTGTAACCCGGATATAAGAGAGTTGTCGGGACCGGAGAAGAAGTCTGTTATATCCGGGTTTCTCTTATATCCGGGTTTGGTCTATTTTATATACATTAACACGGGCTCTAATTTGGGACCAGAGAAAATCTCTCTTATATCCGGGTTTCTCTTATATCCGGGTCTCTTATATCCGTGTTTCTCTTATATCCGGGTCTCTTATATCCGGGTTACACTGTATAATTAATCTGATTCAAACAACTATTATTTACTATAAGTTTAAAATATCACAGAAATGCATTTTTTTTAACACAACGGTAGCTTGTTTATTTATGTTGAGAATATTTTAATAGCTCCGTGACAAGCCGATAAAAGATAGATTTATATCTAATGTTGTTTCTACGTGGGGCTTTAACTGTAATTAATAATAATTAAGGGATGTTACGAGCGAGCGCCTTTTAAGTTAACTGTAAACAAGTAAATTAAAGAAAATATAGTAGGAACGTTTATTCCGAGCCTTCACTTGTTATGCACGGCTGGAATTGAAGTAAGCATCCTTGTAAATGCTCCTAGTAGTATTCAAAATCACACAAATAATACATCTCAAACAGTGCAAATATGAAAAGAAACTAACAACACTAAAACAAAACCAGCTTGAAAATGGCTGACGAAGTGAGCGAATGCGTTTGGGATGGCGATATGGACAGTTTTTTTTACTCTCTCATTTCCACGAAACGAAAAAAAAAACAAAAAACGTAAGGACGCTGTAAAAATTAAATAAAATAGGAATAAAATTAAATTAAGACTATCTAATTATTTAAATATATAAGCTTTTAATTGCTGTCATAAATAATAAAATGAAGAATGTAGCCTGAATAATAATAATAATAAAAAAACTCTTTCGATGACAAATGAATTATTAGCAGAATTGTTCCTCGACACTCTTTTTTTTAATTATAATTTTTAAAGTTTAAAATGAATTTCTAAAAATGAACAAAGCGTTATTGGAGATATATGTGGCGTATTATAAAAACGAACACTATCCGATAGCGAGATCAGTACGCGTCAATGGGACAAATTTTGCGCTCTTAGGCCTGTTAGACCTGTTCTTGTATGCGTTGAATTAATTCATTTTGCTAGGATCGGGGATACTATGTATGGTTCTGTTCTTGTATGCGTTGAATTCATTTCGCGAGGATCGGGGATACTATATATGGTTCTGTTCTTGTACCCGTTGAATTAATTCATTTTGCGAGGATCGGGGATACTATGTATGGTTCTGGTCTTGTATGCGTTGAATTAATTCCTTCTGCGAGGATCGGGGATACTATGTAGGGTTCTGGTCTTGTATGCGTTGAATTAATTCCTTCTGCGAGGATCGGGGATACTATGTAGGGTTCTGGTCTTGTATGCGTTGAATTAATTCCTTCTGCGAGGATCGGGGATACTATGTAGGGTTCTGTCTTGTATGCGTTGAATTGATAAATTTTGCCAGGATCGAGTATACTATGTAAGTTTCTGTTCTTATATGCGTTGAATTAATTCATTTTGCGAGAATCAGGTATACTATGTATGGTTCTGGTCTTGTATGCGTTGAATTAAATCATTTTGCCATGATCGATGATACTATATATGGTTCTGAACTTGTATGCGTTCAATTAATTCATTTTTCGAGAATCGGGGACAGTTTGTATGGTTCTGTTCTTGTATGCGGTGAATTAATTTATTTTGTCAGGGTCGGGGATACTATGCATGGTTCTGGTCTTGTATGCGTTGAATTAATGAATTTTGCCAGGATCGGCGATACTATGTATGTTTTTTTTTTCTTAATTCTTTTATGCGTTAAAAATTTCTTTTTAATATGGCTGAAGTTTTCTAATTAATTTAGTTGGAGGCTTAGGGTTAATCTAAACTGGTTCCTAAATAAATACTTTTAAAT